TCTGATACCACACTTATCTACAAGGGACTTACAACGTTACCGTCAACCATCTGATACCACGCCTCCCTATAACGGACTGAAAACGGTACAGTCGACCATCTGATACCACACTTATCTACAAGGGACTAACAACGTTACAGTCGACCATCTGATACCACACTTATCTACAAGGGACTAACAACGTTACAATCGACCATCTTATACCACACTTATCTACAAGGGACTAACAACGTTACAGTCGACCATCTGATACCACACTTATCTAAAAGGGACTTACAACGTTACAATCGACCATCTGATACCACACTTATCTACAAGGGACTAACAACGTTACAATCGACCATCTTATACCACACTTATCTACAAGGGACTAACAACGTTACAGTCGACCATCTGATACCACACTTATCTACAAGGGACTAACAACGTTACAATCGACCATCTTATACCACACTTATCTACAAGGGACTAACAACGTAACAGTCGACCATCTGATACCACACTTATCTACAAGGCACTAACAACGTTACAGTCGACCATCTGATACCACGCCTCCCCATAACGGACTGAAAACGTTACAGTCGACCATCTGATTCCACACTTATCTACAAGGGACTAGCAACGTTACAGTCGACCATCTGATACCACACTTATCTACAAGGGACTTACAACGTTACCGTCGACCATCTGATACCACACTTATCTACAAGGGACTCACAACGTTACAGTCGACCATCTGATACCACGCTTATCTACAAGGGACTTACAACGTTACAGTCGACCATCTGATATCTCACTTATCTACTATAGCTAGGGACTGACAACGTTACAGCTTACCGTCATACAACCTCGTCCTTTTCAGGGATTGAGGGGGCGTTGGGGCAGCCTAGTGTTTAAGGCGTTCGCTCGTCACGCCGAGGACCCGGGTTCGATTCCCTACATGGGAACAATGTGTGAAGCGGCGTAGAACCATAACACGCGAACGCTCTTACCACTAGACCACCGCCGCCCATCTGAGAAGAGATACTATGTGTGACACAATGTTCCATCCTAAATGTGACTAAAGCCCCTGTATACGTCTATTTAGCTAACAATCTCTTCCTAGGATGGATGACTGAATGAGTATCACTCGCAGTATCACTCAATAGGATCATCGCAACATCACAGCGGGGGACACCAGAAATGGGTTTGACACAATGTACCCATGTGGGGAATCGAACCTGGTTCTTCGGCGTGACGAGTGAACACTTTAACCACTAGGCTACCCCACCGCCCACACCCTAGGATGAAGCAATATGTAGGAGGCTGCTTGATATATGACAAATGACGTGTTCCACACAGCATAGCAGCCGCTAGGGCCACCTAAACCAGGCAGGTGCAATCGACTAGTAATAAAACACACACCCTAACACTCCATATGGTACCGCTAATGGCTCTATGTTTATTGGAAGGATCAATATGTGTTTAAGCTGTGCGTTCATCACGTTAATTACAACCCGTTAAATATGTCCTAAACGTTGCAACTGCAACCTCCTTTTTATAATATCAGGTAGATCCCTTAAATCCTATATACGATATGCTTTAATAAAAACTATATTGTTCACCCTTTTCATGTGCACATTGGGTGGGATACCATTAAGAACGGAGCCTGTTAATATTAAAGTTTATTTTTTTGTGATGTAATAGGCTGTCAGGCTTTGATAAACGGAAACAGCTGATTGTCTTGTGATTGGTTATTAATTAATCAATTTAATAGCGAACGTCCTGCAGTGGACCCGCCAGCCTCCCATGTGAGCTGATTGTTAATACATACATAACCCCTTTACCTGGTAGCAGTCAATAAACAAATACCTTAAAAAGCGTGTATGCATGGTTATAACAATACTTTTCAAATGGCAACAGGTTGTTACTTCCGTGGCTTAATGTGATGTTCCATGAATATAGATTGTGTTCAAGATTTACTCTTTAACGGAGACAGTCTGACGCTCCATTTCCATTTTTTTATTTAGATTTACAAAATAGTGATTTGTATCAAACTGAGACATCGCTCTGTGTAAATTGTTTTTTGGCGCAGCTTTTAGCAATATTCCAGCAATCTCAAGGCTGGGGGCACCAGAAATGGGCTTCACACATTGTACCCATGTAGGGGGAATAGAAGCTGGCGTGACGAGCGAACGTTTTAACTACTATCCTACCCCACCGCGCCTCATTAACTGTTGGATTGATATGCATTAAAAACATTGAGTTAACAGTCACACAAGGTATACGTGTTGAATAACTTGATTCAACCTTGCTAGGACTGGAAATCGGCCCTCTTTTAAAATAACTACTGTTCAATTTTTTCAAATAATTATTTATGCTTCCCTGCTTAATAGAGTTAATATTACTTTTCGGGGGGGGGGGGGGGGGGGGGGGGGTTCAGCTCAGTTTACAGCAGTTAATGGATATATTTTTTGTGTACTACTACAAGGCGCCGTTTTGGGCCCACTCATATTTTTGGTTTTCTCCTAATCGCGCCAGGCGAAGATTCAGAGATCAGATTTCCTCGTCTGTCAGCACATTACTCTTGTTCCTGCCCCCCCCCCCCCCCCCCCCCCCCCCCCCCAAAAAAAAAACAAAAAAACAACAACAACAACAAACAAACAAACAAACAAACAACAACAACAAACAAACAAAACAAAACAAAAAACGTATGCGTCTACGATCTGCAACATTTTCTAGCTCTATTAGGGTATGGTGCTACCAAACCTAAAAACATCATCAGGCTCAATCTGGGATTTGAACCCGCTATTATAGGTTTATATGTCAAGCGAACGCAAATCAACACAGTGAATTGAGGCGCCAAAGACGACAGGGTCTGCCTTGTCTCCACATGCTTACCCTTTTCACGAACGGCTGGTGCCATCACTGATTATTAGAAAATCATAAATATTTATCAGTTTTTTGTTTTGGTTTGTTTTTTGTTTTGTTTTGGGTTTTGTTCTCTTTCTGACCTGGCTATTGTTTGAGGTGACAACACAATGTGGGTACCAATCAGTAAATCATGTACATGTTTGCGTAGGAAATGTGTGTAAGGTTTAAGGATATCAGATTGCAACCAGCCCACGCTGTGATACCTAGCGTACATTACTGATGACTTTATCATCATCATCATCATCATCATCATCATCATCATCATCATCATCATCATCATCATCATCATCGTCGTCGTCGTCATCATCATCATCATCATCATCATCATCTGAAACGCCGTCTTCAGTTAAACAACTTAGTTTTACGTTTGTCCATACCAACCAATCTTGGATAACATTTCTTATTGTCGGACATTGCACAACGCGACAATGACCCTTCTATGATTCCATACATTGCAGAAATTCTGCAACTTGATAAAAACATTGATGGGCTTTCTCGTATTTTTGAATAAGGAACAAATAAAACTGGAAACGCTACACGATTGTAATACATAATATACGACAGCTTTCCCAAGCATCTGTCAATTGGGGATCTTTATAATGTCCCCTTTTCGATCCCCAGGTAGAACGGGAACAGGATCGGATGGTCAGGTTCTGTGAATTGGCTGTTGGAATGATGGCCTGGATCGATGTTCACACGTTCTGTCTATCATTTGCCCGATCGAGATTTGATTCGTTACAGGCCGTCGTGACAATTTGGGATATCGCAGCCTGTGGCATTGATCACTCACTCACTCACTCACTCACTCACTCACTCACTCACTCACTCACTCACTCACTGGGGGCGGTCGGGTAGCCTAATGGTTAAAGCGTTCGCTCGTCACGCTGAAGACCCGGGTTCGATTCACGACATGGGTACAATGTGTGAAGCCCATTTCTGGTGTCCCCCGCTGGATATTGCTGGAATATTGCTAAAAGCGGTGTAAAACCATATTCACTCACTCACTCACTCACTCACTCACTCACTCACTCACTCACTCACTCACTCACTGAACTAGCGCGATATGTTACACGAATGTATGTATTGCATCCCTGACACATACTTCATCCCCGAAGCCACATACTTGCTGGTGTGATACCAGAGTTATCACATGACTAAGCATATCTCCATGACATAAGCCCGTGCATAATGCATGGATATCCTACCCCAGTGACATAAGGATGAAACAACCGGAAAACGGCACCTGTGCAAGTTGTTTACAAACAACGGAACAACATGGACTTCTTTGAGTGCAACATGCGGATTTTTATACAGCCTCCGACATCACTATTGACAAGCCCATCGTAATTATCACCCGTAAATGTTACCAGGTAGAAGAAATATTTTCAACACGATTCGCAGTTAAACATACATGGAGATTCGCTATCTGACAAACATCCTGCTTAAAGGGTGATCTATAAAGAGTTTTCGTTGCGTCATGAAAGAAACTGTTTTGTCAGATATGATTCTATCAGCGGCACATAGGATACTCCATATCATTACTCCAATCGTAATTTACCTTAATCGTCATTCCTTATTACAAACCCATCACAACGAACATGTCAGTCTTCTCTTTGTATTTCATTTTTCCCCAAGGGGACTCTCGGAGCTGCAGCAGCTCCCAACCCAATCACTCTCGAACATCTCCCCCTTCCCCCATCCCTCCCTAACATCATCCCCATCCATCCCCAAACATCATCCCTAATTCACCACCCGCATCCCTCCTCAACATTATTATGCCCATCCCTCCAATATCAAACCCCATCCCCACCCCTCCCCAATATCATCCCCATTCACAATCCCCATCCCTCCCCAACAACAACCCTATCCCCATCCCTCCCCAACATCAACCCCATCCCCATCCCACCCCAACATCATCCCCATCCCCATCCCACCCCAACATCAACCCCCTTTTACTTCCCTCCCAAAAACAATTCTCCATCCCCGCCCCTCCCCAATATCAACCCCCATCCCCATCCTTTCCCAAAACAATCCCCTGTTCCGACACCTCCGCAACACAAAAAAAACATCCCCCATTCACAACCCGCATGTCTCCCAACATCATACCCAATTCACAACCCGCATGCTTCCCAACATCATCCCCCATTCACAACCCGCATGTCTCCCCAACATCATCCCCCATTCACAACTCGCATCGCTCCCCAACATCATCCCCCATTCAAAATCCGCATGTCTCCCCAACATCATCCCCCATTCACAACTCGCATCGCTCCCCAACATCATCCCCCATTCACAACCCGCATGTCTCCCCAACATCATACCCCATTCACAACCCTCATGCCTCCTCAACATCATCCCCCATTCACAACCCGCATGTCTCCCCAGCATCATCCCCCATTCACAACCCGCATGCCTCCCCAACATTATCCCCCATTCACAACCCGCATGCCTCCCCAACATCATCCCCCATTCAAAACCAGCATGCCTCCCCAACATCATCCCCCATTCACAACCCGCATGCCTCCAAACATCATCCCCCATTCACAACCCGCATGTCTCCCCAACATCATCCCCCATTCACAACCCGCATGCCTCCAAACATCATCCCCCATCCCCATCCCTCCCCAACATCATCCCCCATTCACAATCCGAATGCCTCCCTAACATCATCCACCATCCCCATCCCTCCCCAACATCATCCCCCATTCAAAATCCGCATGCCTCCCCAACATCATCCCCCATTCACAACCCGCATGTCTCCCCAACATCATCCCCCATTCACAACCCGCATGCCTCCCCAGCATCATCCCCCATTCAAAATCCGCATGCCTCCCCAACATTATCCCCCATTCACAACCCGCATGCCTCCCCAGCATCATCCCCCATTCAAAATCCGCATGCCTCCCCAACATCATCCCCCATCGGTATCCCTCCCCAACATCATCCCCCATTCACAATCCGCATGCCTCCCCAACATCATCACTCATCCCCATCCCTCCCTAACATCATCCCCCATTCACAACCCGCATGCCTCCCAACATCATCCCCCATTCACAACCCGCATGCCTCCCAACATCATCCCCCATTCACAACCCGCATGTCTCCCCAACATCATCCCCCATTCACAACTCGCATCGCTCCCCAACATCATCCCCCATTCACAACCCGCATGTCTCCCCAACATCATCCCCCATTCACAACCCGCATGCCTCCAAACATCATCCCCCATTCACAACACGCATGCCTCCCAAACATCATCCCCCATTCACAACCGCATGCCTCCCCAACTTCATCCCCCATTCACAACCCGCATGCCTCCCAAACATCATCCCCCATTCACAACTCGCATGCCTCCCAACATCATCCCCCATTCACAACCCGCATCCCTCCCCCACATCATCCCCCATCCCCATCCCTCTCAAACATCATCCCCCATCCACAACCCGCATCCCTCCCCAACATCATCCCCCATTCACAACCCGCATCCCTCCCCCACATCATCCCCCATCCCCATCCCTCTCAAACATCATCCCCCATTCACAACCCGCATGCCTCCCAACATCATCCCCCATTCACAACCTGCATGTCTCCCCAACATCATCCCCCATTCACAACTCGCATCGCTCCCCAACATCATCCCCCATTCACAACCCGCATGTCTCCCCAACATCATCCCCCATTCACAACCCGCATGCCTCCAAACATCATCCCCCATTCACAACACGCATGTCTCCCCAACATCATCCCCCATCCCCATCCCTCTCAAACATCATCCCCCATCCACAACCCGCATGCCTCCCAAACATCATCCCCCATTCACAACTCGCATGCCTCCCAACATCATCCCCCATTCACAACCCGCATCCCTCCCCAACATCATCCCCCATTCACAACCATTATCCCTCTCCAACATCATCCCCCATTCACAACCATCATCCCTCCCAAACATCATCCCCCATTCACAAACTGCATGCCTCCCCAACATCATCCCCCCATCCCCATCCCTCCCCCACATCATCCCCCATTCACAACCCGCATCCCTCCCCAACATCATCCCCCATTCACAACCATCATCCCTCCCTAACATCATCCCCCATTCACAACCTGCATCCCTTCCCAACATCATCCCCCATCCGCATCGCTCCCCAACATCATCCCCCATTCACAACCCGCATCCCTCCCTAACATCATCCCCCATTCACAACCATCATCCCTCCCCAACATCATCCCCCATTCACAACTCGCATGCCTCCCCCACATCATCCCCCATCTCCAACCCTCCCCCACATCATCCCCCATCCCCATCCTTGCCAAACACCATCCCCCATCCCTCCCTAACACCACCCCCCATTCACAATCCGCATGTCTCCCAACATCATCCCCCATTCACAATCCGCATGCCTCCCAACATCATCCCCCATTCACAACCCGCATGCCTCCCCAACATCATCCCCCATTCACAACCCACATGCCTCCTCAACATCATCACCCATTCACAACCCGCATGTCTCCCCAACATCATCCCCCATTCACAACCCGCATGCCTCCCAACATCATCCCCTATCCACAACCCGCATCCCTCCCCAACATCATCCCCCATTCACAAACATCATCCCTCCCCCACATCATCCCCAATCCCCATCCCTGCCAAACACCATTCCCCATCCCTCCCTAACACCGCCCATCCCCCATTCACAATCCGCATGCATCCCAACATCATCCCCCATTCACAATCCGCAGCCCTCCCAACATCATCCCCCATCCCCATCCCTCCCAAACACCATCCCCCATTCACAACCCGCATCCCTCCCAAACATCATCCCCCATTCACAACCCGCATCCCTCCCAAACACCATCCCCAATCCCAGTCACTCCCCAATATTATTCTTCATCCTCACCCTCCATCCTCATCCCTCCTCAACAACACCCCTTATACCCCCACCTCCCTAACATCAATTCCCATCCCCATCGCCATCCCTCATCCCCCCCCCCCCCACCCACCCACCCCCCCACACACACACCCACCCAACCCCACCCCTCCCAGACACAGTGGTGTACGATTAGATCATGTACAATGAGGTGGAATATGTACACCCAATTATGAACGCCACTACCTAGTTCACGCCAGTTCGCAAATAGTAAACACGTGTCAACTCTAATCTCCTGACAGTGGTAATTTGGTTGTATTGTACAACGTCTCTCGGCGAGAGCATGCCTGGCTGGACGGTAAACTTGTTCTCACCACAGTACCAATAACAAATATTTCATCGATTCGCTCAGGCACTAAATATTTATCATATGAGTTATCAGCCGGGCAGGATGTTACAACCCCATCTTTTTCAGTACTACTGGGTTGCTAAAAACACGATATTCTCGTATCATGTAAAACAGTTTCAGCGAAGTTGTACTTTCATGTCAGAAAAATTACCATGTGAAATAGATATTCTGTAATTATTCAATAATTGTAATTCTGAAACGGTTTTATGTGATAATTGTTGTTATCATTATACGACTCATTGAAGGTATTTGTCTACTTTTTATTGGCCCTACAGTATTGGATTAAGTTCTGATTATGAATATTTCATTTGGTGGAAACGTGATATCAGCATATCGGTATTTTTTGACAGTTGTTTCTGAGTTACAAATTTTATGTATGTTTTTATCCAACAGGGAAATGTAAAACTTCAGTCTGCTTGAGCTTAGATATTCGAACGAGAAACATGTTTTAGTAAATATTAGTATGGTTTATTCCAGACCAAAGTATGCAATAAATAGACACGATATATGGAGGATGTATCTCATATAGCGCGGAACCTTGTTCTGAAAGTTATGTTTTACCAGCTGCAAAATATATTATTTCCATGACACCAGAAATGGGCTTCACACATTGTACCCATGTCGGGAATCGAACCCATGTCTTCGGCGAGACGAGCGAACGCTTTAACCTCTAGGCTACCCGACCGCCCCCCCCCCCCCCCCCCCCCCCCCCCATACTTAGAACAAAGTATTCTGTGAACAAAGTATTTTTATATGACCAATGAATGATATCATGACATGTGACTCGACTGCAGTTTAGTTTCTTTGTAGTCTCTAGGCTGGAGAACTCCTCCAGAACTGTTATATATGTGATACAGTGAAATATTGTTTGGTCAGATCCCGTTAATCCGGGAAAATCGCTTTAATCTATCTTTAAGGAACGCGTATTTCATCCAAAAAAAATACTTCGATGATCCGTTTATCCAAAAAGGTGTTTTGATGTTTCCAAAAAGGTGACTTTGATGTTTCGCTGTAATTTCTAGACATGTATCGACATAATTAGAACCTGGTCACTGCAACCTTGAAAGTTATTATACAGCAAACTACGGTTATAGCGAACTCAAAGGGGCCACAAATTCTAGTTCGTTATAACCGTAATTCGTTATAAGCATATGTACAGCAGAGATACAGCAAATGGCAGGGCCTAAAAACCGGTTCGTTATATCCACCAGTTCGTTATAATTGTGTTCGTTATAACCGTAGTTTACTGTATTATAACGTTGTCAGACACATTTTCCTCAGCGTCTTCTGTGTGATTTGAGTTGTCCCTTGTTAACCTATGGCGTGCAGAACAAAATCGTTTCGTGATGTTTCAATTAGCACACTAGTATTAGCACTCAGTCACATAAATCATTTGATCTGTCTGACAGGAATCAGCTGACTGAAGATGACGATGGATATGACAAGTCTGTGTGTTAAAAGAGTGAGTGAGTGAGTGAGTGAGTGAGCACTGAACATTGTTTCGGTTTTATCGGAGTGTGCGCTTGATGTCGGATGAAACCCAAAATGGTTTTAGACGTTAACCACTTTGGTGAACCCCACGAACACGGGCAGGATAATAACAAACAATATGAAATTATATCAATAAAAAACAATTAAATAACAAATGATAATAACAAATCAAAAACCATAATCAGGGTGAATCTCGGATTCGAACCCACGACCATAGGTTTCTGAACAGTGATTTGCGGCGCCTGAGGAGGCTGGGCCGACCATATCCTGTGATGAAGGAGTTGTTGTCACTCCCGAAGCCCATTTCTGTCTTAGGAACCTTTCTTTGAGTACATTGGGGGAGCAAGGGTAGAAAGACAAGTGTGTCAGCTACAAACACATTAAGAGTTGGGTATGACATCATGCTTTTTAGACAGATCCGTCCATCTGTAGATTGTCTGAGCAGTGGAGTATGACATCATACTACTAACAGACAGACCCGTCCATCTGTAGATTGTCTTAGCAGCGGGGTATGACCTCATACTACTAACAGACAGACCCGTCCATTTGTAGATTGTCTTAGCAGTGGAGTATGACATCATACTAGTACCAGACAGACCCGTCCATTTGTAGATTGTCTCAGCATTGGAGTATGACATCATACTTCTAACAGACATACCCGGCCATTTGTAGATTATCTTAGCAGTGGAGTATGACATCATACCACTAACAGACAAACCCGTCCATCTGTAGATTGTCTTAGCAGTGGAGTAAGACATCATACTACTAACAGACAAACCCGTCAATCTGTAGATTGTCTTAGCAGTGGAGTATGACATCATACGACTAAAAGACAAACCCGTCCATCTGTAGATTGTCTTAGCAGTGGAGTAAGCCATCATACTTCTAACAGACAGACCCGTCCATTTGTGGATTGTCTTAGCAGTGGAGTAGGACATCATACTAGTACCAGACAGACCCGTCCATTTGTAGATTGTCTCAGCATTGGAGTATGACATCATACTTCTAACAGACAGACCCGGCCATTTGTAGATTGTCTTAGCAGTGGAGTATGACATCATACTACTAACAGACAAACCCGTCCATTTGTAGATTGTCTTAGCAGTGGAGTAAGACATCATACTACTAACAGACAAACCCGTCCATTTGTAGAATGTCTTAGCAGTGGAGTATGACATCATACTAGTACCAGACAGACCCGTCCATTTGTAGATTGTCTTAGCAGTGGAGTAAGACATCATACTACTAACAGACAGACCCGTCCATTTGTAGATTGTCTTAGCAGTGGAGTATGACATCATACTACTAACAGACAAACCCGTCCATCTGTAGATTGTCTTAGCAGTGGAGTAAGACATCATACTACTAACAGACAGACCCGTCCATTTGTAGATTGTCTTAGCAGTGGAGTATGACATCATACTAGTACCAGACAGACCCGTCCATTTGTAGATTGTCTCAGCATTGGAGTATGACATCATACTTCTAACAGACAGACCCGGCCATTTGTAGATTGTCTTAGCAGTGGAGAATGACATCATACTACTAACAGACAGACCCGTCCATTTGTAGATTGTCTTAGCAGTGGAGTATGACATTATTCTAGTACCAGACAGACCCGTCCATTTGTAGATTGTCTCAGCATTGGAGTATGACATCATACTTCTAACAGACAGACCCGGACATTTGTAGATTGTCTTAGCAGTGGAGTATGACATCATACTACTAACAGACAAACCCGTCCATCTGTAGATTGTCTTAGCAGTGGAGTATGACTTCATACTACTAACAGACAAACCCGTCCATCTGTAGATTGTCCTAAGAGTGGAGTATGACATCATACTACTAACAGACAAACCCGTCCATCTGTAGATTGTCTTAGCAGTGGAGTAAGACATCATACTACTAACAGACAGACCCGTCCATTTGTAGATTGTCTTAGCAGTGGAGTATGACATCATTCTAGTACCAGACAGACCCGTCCATTTGTAGATTGTCTCAGCATTGGAGTATGACATCATACTTCTAACAGACAGACCCGGCCATTTGTAGATTGTCTTAGCAGTGGAGTATGACATCATACTACTAACAGACAAACCCGTCCATCTGTAGATTGTCTTAGCAGTGGAGTAAGACATCATACTACTAACAGACAAACCCGTCCATCTGTAGATTGTCTTAGCAGTGGAGTATGACATCATACTACTAACAGACAAACCCGTCCATCTGTAGATTGTCTTAGCAGTGGAGTAGGACATCATACTAGTACCAGACAGACCCGTCCATTTGTAGATTGTCTCAGCATTGGAGTATGACATCATACTTCTAACAGACAGACCCGGCCATTTGTAGATTGTCTTAGCAGTGGAGTATGACATCATACTAGTACCAGACAGACCCGTCCATTTGTAGATTGTCTCAGCATTGGAGTATGACATCATACTTCTAACAGACATACCCGGCCATTTGTAGATTGTCTTAGCAGTGGAGTATGACATCATACTACTAACAGACAAACCCGTCCATCTGTAGATTGTCTTAGCAGTGGAGTAAGACATCATACTACTAACAGACAAACCCGTCCATCTGTAGATTGTCTTAGCAGTGGAGTATGACATCATACTAGTCACAGACAGATCGGCCTCTCTGTAGGTGATGTCAGCAGTAGCGGATGACGTCATACTAGTGTCAGACAGATCCGCCTCTCTGCAGATGGTGTCAGCAGTAGAGGATGACGCCATACTAGTCACAGACAGACCCGTCAATCTACAGATTCTCTCAGCAGTAGAGCAAGACGTCATACTTGTCACAGACACATCCGTCAATCTGTAGGTTGTCTCAAGAGAAGAGAATGACGTCATACTACTTAATACATACATGTCCATCCGTAGATTGTCTCGGCAGTAGAGCATGGCGTCACACCTGTCACAGACAGACCCACCAATCTGTAAGTTGCCATACAAGTCACATAAATACCTGTCTATCAGACGATTGTCTCAGCAGTGGAGTATAAAGTAATACTACTACTGGCATACCACAGACCCGTCAATCTGCACGTACGCCAGTGGTAATTCAGTAAACATGGGAATGTATGGTTAACTGTTTATTGACATGCCTCGTATCATATCAGTCCAGGAATCTAAATTGCCGGGCAAAAGAAGATATACATATGCAACAAACAACAACAAAAACGGCTATTCGATTATGCTGAATACTCTGCAAAAAAAGAAACGCAAAGTGAATTTTGGTGTATATTTTATATATCACATAAATAACCACACGAGGGTAATCGATTGTTCACAATTGGCACACATCATTGTCATTGGCCCAGGTTCCATATGGCTCACATGGAACAGTAAATTATCAATGTGAAGGTTTTCTTAATATCTAGTATGAACCACCATTAGAGTCCCAAACTGACTGTCATCGTCGTCCCATTGAAGCATTCAGATCCCGAATTGTGGCCTGGGGAATGTTCACCCACTCTGCCTGCAGTGCTTGTGCCAACTGTCGTTGTAGCTGACGTGCTCGCAGTCGTTTATCCAGTGCTTCACATAAATGTTCGATTTGGAGACCTGTAGGGCCATGGCAGGACCTGGATGGTGTGATTCCTGAAAAAGGCTGTTGTCAGTCTTGCCGTGTGAGGTCATGTCTTGTTGAAAATGACTTTCGCTTGTTGCATAATTGGAAGGACGTGTGGCCGAACAATTTCATTCGCGTAACGTTGTGTCGTTAAATTCTCCAGAACTTGCATCAGGACTGTTCCACCAGTGTAGGAGATGGCTGCCGACATCACCACACCACCACCACCACCAAATCTGTCCACTTCCTGCATTAGTTTTGTACAAAACGTTCCCCGCGACGCCTGCCTACCATCCGCACGGCGAAGCATAAAAAGTGACGCGTCACAAAAGCAAACCTGTCTCCATCGCAGTTGTGATACTCTGTCACCTTGACACCTTTGACGTCGCAGCCGACGATGCAAGTCGAACCTCGAACTCGAACGCGAATACCTTCAGCGCGTAAACGGCTTGTCACTGTCTGGGCTGATGTCCTTCGCAATCCTGGTATTGCCGTTGTTGTAGTGGTGGCCGTGGTGGTTCTTCCATGCAAGTAACGTAGCCGTATGTATCTGCCCTTTGCTCTAGTCGTGATACGTGGCTGGTCGGATATCGTAAGGTCATGAATTGTCCCGTGTGTCTGATAACGGTCCCACAGTCCGGTGCTACGTGGAAAAACCTGGCGACGGCTGAAGATGATTCTCCTGTTTACAGTCGGCCGATGGCGCTGTTGCATTGACGTTGCTTCAGTCGTGGCATTTGTTTGCTGTTCACTTGCTGTAAGATTGTGATGGCATGCAAATGTTGCACGTGCATGTCATGCTGGTGTGTTTCGGCGCCAGGCTCTCACGTCTTTTCAGTCTTTTCACCAAAGTTTTGCAGTACCTCATTCTTTTCACACAAATCAATCCCAATCCATGCAGAAATGACCAAATCAGTTTTTGTACTAATTTTGTATGGATTTCTGATAATAGTTAATTGTCATTTAAAATACTGTGCTGTATATAGTTTTACCTTCCACGTATTATTTCAAATTAAGCTCCCGTCTAATTATATAAACTAATTATAATATAAAATATCTTGCTATTTATAGTTTTACCTTTAACGCAATCTTTAAAATCAAGCCCCCGTAATAATAGAATCATATCACCCCATTACAAATGGGACATATTGCCGAAGACGTTGCCGTTTAACATGTTTGTACTGAACACCCTGTACTGTCTATCTGTGTTATCAAGCATAATTAATTTGTGTACAATCAAACTGAATTTGACAAAGGATGATTTCATCATCCTGTGCCCTAATCACCTTGTGATACCGTTAAAATGCCCATTCAATGAGACTCCTCGCTGGCAGTGTATTTGTCGTCGGAGAGTTAATCAGAACCTCAAATTAATCAACCCTTCC